GAAATCCCATCACTACTGTTCATGGTGAGGAAATCTTTTTTGCCTGAGGTTCTTTGTTAGCAGGCCATCAATGGCACCCTTCATAGGCTGCGTCCACTGAGAATGCTCGAAAACATGTATTAGACATCCTGCCTGTAAACACACACGAGGGACAGGGGGATAGCTTGGGACTGCAGTTCTGAGAGGCAGCATTTCCAGAGTGTCTGCATGTGACATAACACTAACTCCTTCGTCTGACCTGTCACTGTCACTGCTTTAACTCTGTGTTAAGCAGGAGATCAAGAACTGTGGGAAGCTTTAATTCAGACTGCTTCCAGCAGTACACCCTAGTCGTGCCCTGCAACTAAGAAAGATCTGTGGAAACACGAGTGCTTCTGGTCCATTTTGCCTGGAAATGGAAGCCCTCCTGCTATCAAACATGTCAATACGCTGAGATTTGTTTTAAACCAGTCATTTTTACAGGCAATCCAAATACCAGTAAGTAGTCCACACTAAAAAATGCTGGGTTAAAAATGACCCAATTTGTAACCCAACACTGGATCAAATATGGACCGAGCCAACGCTGGGTTGTTTCAACTTAACAGGGTTGGATTACTGGTTTGACCCAGCACATTGGGTTAGGATAACTATCCAAAAATTGGATTAAATTGACCAATGTTTAAAGTTGAGGTTACCAAAAATTGAGTCGAAACTCAATATAATAATAATATAACCCATCACAAGGGTTATATTACCATTAACGTTTGGGTTAAGATTCCTACTTAGTATAAAATTCAGCATATTCAAAGATTCAAAACAGATTTTCTCAAAAAATCCTTTTATTGACATATGATACATAGAACATAGACAGCAAAATTCATCAAAAATATATAATTGAAAGTAAAAAGCAAGTAACAAAAAAGTAATTAATTCATTATATTATATCCATTACTTCAAATCAGTCTTTGGTTACAGCACATACACATGTTAACACACATAAAGACATGCTTTCTGAAGTCGGCTCTGTTTTTAGAACAAATTACATTTAAAAACTCTTAAATTGATAA